GAAACTGCAGAAGAAGGTTGGCGGTCAAAAAACAATGTTGTTGTTTTTTTCTATTGTTACAGTGGTTCACTAAGTTGTCTATCATAGAGAAATACAAAATTGTACTATGTACAGTACGCATCATTATAACCTACTGTGTTTCTTTTCTTGCTGCAAAAGACAAGAGAAATACTTTTGGAATAAAGGCGAGGAGTTGCAAAAAACACTGAATGAAGATGTAGGTTACTATTATAAATGAGTTTCCTCCGTTTTGTCCTCCACATTGTTTAGCTCAGTAGGATCAAGACAATTCTATTCACTGCATCCTCGACCCAAGTGACAGCTGCGTCTAGAAACAACGTCATTGGGGGGTCAACAGGCTGATGCTCTGTCTATGTCTACGCATACAGACTTTAATCTCAAGCTCTAACGCCAGAACAGAATCAGCTGCAGTATTTTCTTTTAGATTTTGTATGTGTTAGTTTCAAATCTATATAGTTTATGGATATTTGGCAGGTACTTTGCATGTTGCTCATTAATGCACTGGTTAAACACTCGGTTAAATCTACAATTTAAGTTAACATAATTTATCTATGGGACTAAGGAGGAATATACCTTTTGTCTTCAGTACTTCTCGAGACAAATGATTGTTAGCATCCCTGTGAGCGGGTGCCTCTGCTTGAAAACAAAAAAAACTAATCTCAAACCTGGCCAGACCCTAAAGACAAGATATAGCAGAAAAGAAAGGACATACTATTTAAAAACAACAAAGCAATTATTTAAAAGAGCACTGTTTGCTTGTTCTGCCCTTCATTTCATCGTTTTTTTTGTTGTTCTTCTAACATTTTATTCATAACCCATTGTTTTTTGTTTTATCTGTAAGCAGTGCTCGGGAGCACGTAAGGTTTTTGTATCATAATGCAAACAGTCTGGGGGGGGGGAGGGGGCGTAAAAGTAGGTAATAAGGTAGCAATAAGGATGTCGGTGAGTTGGAGACGAGGAGGAAGAGGACGAAGGAAGGCCAGTAGGGGGCACAAGAGGAAGAGGAGGGTAGCGGTATTAACACTTGAAGAAAAGGCAGGCGAAGCAGGCCAACAGGAGCCACAGTGATTTAGATACAGAGGCAGAGCCGTTGATATCGCGACCTGTCCCGGGTCCTGAAGAGAGAGAGAGAGAGAGAGAGAGAGAGAGAGAGAGAGAGAGAGAGAGAACGAGAGAGCGAGAGAGAGAGAGAGATCATTTAACATACATACATACTGTTATCATCACATTGATCTTGTTTCTATTGCCATCATAATTGATATTGGGTCGATAATATCCATCAGGTAAGTTGTATTCTTTCTTTTCCTTCACTTTAAATGACATAATATAGTTAACATGATTGTTACTGTTTCATTACCTTGTTCAATGTGCTTTGGATACTGTGTTTGCAAAATGGTTATGCCGATAAAGCTTATTTGAATGGATATCTATAGAGTTTTTACATATAGATATTTTTGAGGGCACTGTAGAAGAGACTCCCAGAAACTATTTTTGGAGTCAAACAACGGAGTAATATCACACCCAAATTAATTATTCTGATGCTTTAATAAAGTACATACATAAATATTCAAATGTGCACTTCTTCTGACCCAGGGACTACTGAGGACCTCTCACTACTTTGAGAGGTGTTTGGTGACATCTTGTGGTCATTGTGTGCTATTGCCTCCTTTGCTGTAAAAATCACTGAAGCCCAACTTATGCCACAGACAGCGGAGCAGAAGAGGCGGAGGGAACGTTTAAGGTGGCCATAAAAGCTCAACACACTCCAACTTAGAAAAACACATACGAAGAGACAAAAGATTGGCAAATGAGGAAGCATGCTCCAAAAACACAAAGCACATTATGTGCGTGGTTTGTTTGGTTATTTGAGTTTGATATCTTTATTTGCAGTGCTCCCTTTTATTCAAGGTTGTCTATTGTCAATTATATCAAATTGTGTGTCTTTCTATTAGTCTTTCTTTGAATATAACATTTCAAATTGCATTGTTGAAAGTCAAACTGTGGTTGAACTGATCCTTAAAGCCACCCTTTCAGCATGTTGCACTCCTGATCAAAAGCAAATCAGTTATGTCGCAGCAGATGTTTTGGATTTAAAAGCTCTGTGTCATCTGGCCTGCCTCTGAGGGCTGGGACACAGCGGCTTAGCGGAGTGCAGTAGCCATCAGAAGATTATAAAACAGCAGCAGGTATTGCAGATGCTGCAGGAAAACGTATATTTCATAGTTTCTCTGCTTTCAAGCCACAAGCCACATGAAATATATGGCGATGTTTCCAGAATGTTTATGCTGCAGCCGTTAGTGTGCCAAATGAAAAGGAAACCATGTCCAACTAACTCAAACCAGAGCTTTGCTGGTGAAACACCTGCTGCAACAGCCCTGATTGGGCGATGGAGCCAGAACTCAAACATGCCTCAAAGCTTGATCCTGTGGAGCAAAAACCTGAAATATGTGTTCAAGGTGTGTTGAACAAATAGTTCTGCATTTCAAAAAACAGCATGGAAAATACCATTTTATAATGGTCAGGTCTTGGTGCCAAATCATGAAGGATAATCACTTGACTCTCTAGCTCTATTGAGATTTTTTGGCATCAATTGTTTAGTCTGAGCTCCTCCAACATAGTAATTCATTTAGTACTGATTTCAATCAGAATAGCTTGGATAAACTCCCAGCAACAATAGAGCTACTGGCTGACTGGTGAACATATTCCAATATCCAGCAGAGCCCTCCAAAGGGCAAAAAGCAACTGCAATGCTTCATAAAGATTTCTAAAATGTACCTGATTACAGCAGTTAAATCTGCATTTGTACTTTTGTTCTTTTATCTATTGACATTTTGATTTAAACTAATACAATAGCACACTAACATTAGCGACTATGGAACAATATACAGACCCTCTAGTGCAGGGGTGGCCAACCAGTCAGAGGTTAAGAGCCACATTTGTTCTATGTTGCTGCAAAGAGCCACATCAAACACACAGTCACTGATGCATTTTTGTGGCATTGGGATATATATGTTTTAAATCCTCTGGAGCAGAGAGAGGAGCTGTGGATTATTGTTATTGATTAATGCATCAGTGTTTCTTAGGGTCAAAAACACTAAACTCACAATTTAAAATGAAAGCATTTAGTTTATTTAATAAAAGAGAACATGTTCAATGTGAAAAGTGACAGTAGTTATAGATTATTTGCAATTATATATATATATATATATATAGCACCAAATTGCAAATAATCTATAACTACTGTCACTTTTCACATTGAACATGTTCTCTTTTATTAAATAAACTAAATGCTTTCATTTTAAATTGTGAGTTTAGTGTTNTCGACCCAACTCACCACCAGATGGTGATCAGTTGACAACTCCGCCCCTCTCTTTACCCGAGTGTCGTATTACAAATAATGATATCTCAAGGTCTTTCCACCATGGCTTTCAGTTGCAACAAAGAGATGAAGT